TCGAGAGTCACTTGGTACCAGAGGAGTATCGTTCGGAGACATCTCTTATACACTGGGTTGTTGAGGGCTACCTGACATGGTTTAGGGTGTCACACTCAATCATGACACCATACGCTTATGGAAGACCACCTAGGCCAGCTAACCAGGAGGTATTTAAGGTTCAGGATGAGCAGGTTGAGAGCGTGACGACGGTCTGTTGATGTGTTACAAAGATGGATAGAACAACCATACATTTAAGACTCTCTGAGGATGACATTCCTCAATTGTCCCTCTTGGAGTGCATGGTTGTCGAGTTATATAATACCATGCAGTACATGCGGCAAAGGAGGTTGGGGATTAGACATACCCAGTAGTTTATATTTGAATGTATTATATTTTTGTATTTTTAGACAATTGTTAAGTATAACTTTTAAATTAATGCGTGACTTTTTATTTTCCCTTAACTTTAATATAACTTCATTTTACTTTGATTTTGTTTTAATACAAGGCCTTACAAAAATTGTAATGTTTTGTAATGGTTCTCTTGTATTTCCGAAATAGTTTTCTCTTGTATTTAACACTCTTTCAAAAACTTTCAAGGACATCGATGGAAGATGAAAATTTGGATTATATTCTATTTAAAATGGGATGAATCTCAAAATTACACATTTTGATGTGATTTGAGCGCGTTTGGAGAAATATTTTTAGAAACATGAAGGGCAATTTCAAATTTTCAAGGGTTTGATATGCACATATAAGATATAAGAGTGAAAAAAGTAATCTCCAACTATTATTGTGTCATATATAAAGTTGAATAGGTTTTGTGTTGCCATTTCTTGTTATATGATACATAAAATTTAAGAGGAGTTTGTTTTAGCTTATGAATTTTCTAAAATAATTTTTATAAATTAAAACACTAATTTTAACAACAAATCACATAAATATATTTTATTAAAGACTAAAAAATAGTTAATATTACATAATTTTTCAAAAAATATATTCTAAAAATAATCTTTAAAAAACAATTCAAAATAGTTTCAAACTAATTTTTTATTTAAAAAAAATTGTTAAAAAAAGTTTATAAATTTTTAAAAATAAAAATATGTAATACTATAAAAAAAAATTTAAACTTTAAAACAAACCGACTGTTAATAAAAATAGAAATAAAAAAACTATTCAAGGGTATGCTGTGGTCTAGTATTTCAGTATTATACAAATCATGAGTAAAAGTATGTCATAGATTAAGTTTTTAAAATTGTTTTAAATAAATGAAAAACATATGTCCTACTATCATACTTAAAATAACTTGCAAGAGTTGGCATGTTGATTTAAACAGGGGATTATTTTTTCTATTTTCAGAGGTGTATTTTTTCTATTTTCAGAGGTGTGTCTCATACCTTTGAAACTTTTCTATTTTTAGAGGTGTGTCTCATTTGAAATTGTGTCCGAAAATGCATCTCCGAATTCTAAAAATACATTTCTGTAAAATGTTGAGTGTCAGATTCCTTAGCCACCCTTCCAACAAATACAAAAGTACAATCAACAATTATACAACTTGTTGAATATGGTGATGAAGTGTTGAGCTTAATCACAAGCCCGTTGGATGGACCATAGTAGTTTTTCCTAGTTGAGTAACACAATGTTGAACATCCTGTGTTGCATCCTTCTCTAATTATGGTAAACCATTAGATATGGTCTCAAATTGAAAATCTAAGAGACCTTTCACAAACTCTTCTCCAAGGGATTTAATCAAATGTTTGTGGTTGAACTTTGTATTGACAAGGTTATGTAGAAACCATTGCAATAGAAGAGAAGAGTTTGACTAATTGCATTAAGTGATTCACAAAACACTGTTAGAGATGCAAGCTTTTCTATATCTCTGAATTTCAAAGATGCACAAAACATTGTTAGAGATGCAAGCTTGTCTGTATCTCTAAATTTCAGAGATGCATTTTCAAATATTTCTTGAACGAAATAAAAGTGTCTCACTTAAGAATTGCTAAAATATTTATATAAAAAATGTGTCAGAAAATACATCAACAAGAGCTAAAGACAGTCGTGACATTTCACAAATTGGAAAGTACCCTAGCGTAAAAAAAAATTGTATTGGCGGTTCTAATTAAACACTGCTAATATGCGGTGGAATTGGTCTCTGAACCTAGTATCCAAATAAGTTAAAAATTTAAAATCACTATAAAATTAAGGTACCCAAAAAATATTGATGAAAGCATGCAAAGCTGATATGATACATGCCAAATAGATTGCCCAAATTAGATTTTAAACGTATATGTTATGTTCATAAGCCATCTCATGCGCCTCATATATCGATGGTAGAAAGTGGTCACGGTTTTGGAAAAGCAACTGGAATAAGTCAGTAGCACCAAACCAAAGCAAACTCCTGGTTGACTCAAAATGATTTTTTTTTAAAGTAGTAATGTTATATAATTTAATTATCAAATAAAACAAATTTTTAAAAAAATTATCAAAATGACAAGCATTGAAATTCATCCAGCAAGCATTCTGCAAATGATTTGGCGAATTAGTTAAAATGTTGTTTCAAGGCATTCGCGAATGGCGAATTAGGCCATTTAGAAATTGGTCAATGTGTTGTCGAATTAGGCAATTTAGAAATTGGTCAATATGTTGTCGCCACATAAATTGGCGAATGTGGCTAATTTTTAGGGTTTCCTTTTTTTTTGTTTTTCTTGTTTTTTTATCATATATTTAAAGTTTTAAAAATTTATTTGTTTTTTAATTTTAATATCATTATTATTAGTAACTATAAAATATATTAATTTATAATATAAATAATATTAATATAATTAAAATATTATTATTAGTAACTATAAAATATATTAATTTATAATGTAAATATAATTATTATTAGTAACTATAAAATATATTAATTTATTTGTTACTTATTATTTTCTATGTATTAGACTTATTAATATAATGTAAATAATATGTTAAAGTTAATATTTTTAGTATTTTTTAAACAAATTATTTAGTGTGTTATAATAACACTATAACATTTAAAATTTAAATAATTGTGAAATTCACATTATACTATTAACAATTTAAAAACTGAGCATTTAAAAATTTCAATCCACAAAAATGATAGATAAAGTGCGTCTTACAGGTAAAAATGATACATAATTCCATCAATTAAAGAAATATTGTTTATCTTAAGCATAAAAAAAATTTAAGACCCAAATATCCATATTGTAACTTACGAAAAACTTTTAATGAAAAATTAAAATTTGAAATCGTTCCAAAGTTTATAATAATCATTGAAAGGTTATATTTATGTTTAACATAATAGTTCATAAATGTTAAAAGGTGAATCTCATGTTCAACATTCTACTTCATCGTTGAAAGGTGAATAGCATGTCAACATTCGAATTTATGGTTGAAAGGTAAATCTTATGTTCAACAGTTTGGCATGAAAAAATCATGGATGAAGTTGTTGAAATTTTTATACTTTTGATTCTCTAAATAACTCTATCATTTTTGTGGATTGAAATTTATAAATGCTCAATTTTTAAATTGTTAATAGTATGATGTGAATTTCACGATTATTTAAATTTTAAATGTTATAGTGTCATTGTAACACACTTGATAATTTGTTTAGAAAATACTAAAAATATTAACTTTAGCATATTATTTACATTATATTAATAAGTCTAATACATAGAAAATAATAAGTAACATTTTTTTTTTTTTATGAAACACATCTCTTACTTTAAAAGTACAATATTTTAACAAAAATTAGAAACCAAGTCTATTAAAATAATTTAAGAATACAATCAAAATAGATAGTCAAAATCATTAGGACAACCTTTTCTATATTTTAACTAAATCTTTGCATAAAATGATTTTTTCTGACTTTTTGATTACCAACTAAAGCCATTATGAATAATATATTTGGCAAAAAGATCCTCCAATAAATCCGCATAAAATAACCAGATAAATCACAAATTTTAGTTTTAATAAATTTTTAAATATAAAAATATTAAATTTATGTTATAGTTATTTTAATAATAAATTTAAAATAAAATAAAAATGAAAACTTATAATAGTTTAAATAAAATTTTAAAACATTATAAATTTTAAATATTAAAATAACCAAAATTTAAAAATTAAAATTTAATTTAAAATGTTTTAAATTTAAATAAGATAAATTCAATTATATAGAACATTGTGTGATAAGTTTCATTAATAAGTTGTGGTAAATGAGAAGAAGACTTAATAAATCTTAAAGACTCAATAAATCTTAAATTAATTATTAAAAAAAAATTTATCCTTCCATTCAATCATTATTTATATTATAAATTAATATATTTTATAATTACTAATAATAATATTTTAATTATATTAATATTATTTATATTATAAATTAATATATTTTATAGTTACTAATAATAATGATATTAAAAAAAAAATTATATTCAATCATTATTTATATTATAAATTAATATATTTTATAGTTACTAATAATAATATTTTAATTATATTAATATTATTTATATTATAAATTAATATATTTTATAGTTATTAATAATAATGATATTAAAATAAAAAAACAACAGCTCCTATAACAATCTATAACAATCAGGGCAGGCACGTATATTATGATTGTTTCCAAAAAAAATAAAACAAATTGTTTCCAAAAAAAATAAAAATCAGACACATATATTATGATTGTTTCCAAAAAAATAGATTTGTGCAAACAAAAGTTACAGCTGAGTGTTTTCAAAAAAATAAAACAAAGACACTATATTATAATTGTAAATAAAACTAACAGGTATATTATGATATGTGCAAACAAAAGTTACAGCTGAGTGAAAAGCTCTTAAAAGCTAGGTAGTTGATATTATGATTGTTTAAAATAAAACTAACAGGTATATTATGATTTGTGCAAACAAAAGTTACAGCTGAGTGAAGAATAGCTAGGTAGTTGTCATATTAGGACCTTGCCATCAACACTTGGTCGAAGTACACCTGTAAAATAGACTTTGCCATCAACACTTGGTCGAAGTACACCTGTAAAATAGAAGGATAATTGAATCAAAATAAACACCTATAAAATAGAAGAATGATTGAATCAAAATAATGCAATTTACTTTTAAATAGAAGCATGATTGAATCAAAATAATGCAATTTACTTTTAAATAGAAGCATGATTGAATCAAAATAATGCAATTTACTTTTATTATTACTTTGTTACAATTATTATTATTACTATGGCATGAAAGATAAATTGTAATCATATCAAACCCTCCATAGGGTATAAAAGTAAGGAACCCTAGAATTCATATGCGTGAAAGTTAGAATGAAAGCATGTTATGCATTCTTCCACATGATGGAAAATATTCTAAGAACCAAAACTGAGCTGACTCAAACCTCAACAAAGGCTTTCGCTGCTGTTCTATCCTATCCAAACCAATAGTATCTGAAGCTGATCTGTCTAAACTAGACAATGATTCTGCAATGTCTTTAAGACCCTGCAAGTGAAAACGGGGTCATTAAGCATGCTATAAGTAGTAAACTTCAAGTTTTGGAAGCATGGTACTAATATGTATGGAGGTAAACAGCATCTTACACCCCATATTATCAGATCACAGGCTAACTTTTTAGCCACTAGGAAATGAAAATAGAGAACAGAGTGCAAGATAGAAGAGCACCATTAAATTTGGAGTTCCCGGATATGTAATTCCTGGAAGTGTGAGCATACCAGGAGACCTCCAAGGAAGTTTTGGTTGCTCATGCGAAATAGTTCCCTGAAAATACAGTAGATATATCACATTAATAATCGAGTCACTGAAAATACAATAGATATATCACATTAATAATTGAGTCACCAGACAAATCAGGAATGGTGTGTTAGACAATGTAATTTAAAATGTCAGTTCTAGATATAAGGTCCTGTTTGGTGTCCCTTTTTGTTTTTTGTTTACATTTCTTGTTAAATTTTAATAGCAAAAATGCCACTTTAGTTTCACTGTATTTCCTGAATCTGTGTTTTCAAAGTCTACAGTTTTCTATATAAAAATTTGAAAACAAAACGCCTCTTTTTTTTGTAATTAAAACTGAAACTAAAGAATATATTTTGAAATAAAAAAGAAACAAGTTCTTCAATATCATCTAGGGTTCTTGCCGTCAATAAGACATAAAATCGATAACAAATGATAGTCCAGACCAAACTATACATAACTGCTACATTCAGCAATAACATGTTAGTATATGGCAACAGACAATATAAACAAACATAATTAATTACAATAATGAAAATAAGAAACAAAATACCCACCGGTAAAGAGTGGGGAACTCTCCGGGTATTTGCCTGTATAAACCCAATAATATAGTCCAATCCCATATTTGCAAGCTCCTGCAACCACATTATTAAATCAGTATTATCATTGGGCATCACAGAATTAACCATTTTCTTACCAAGCTTTAAAATAAACTATGTAAAGAACTTCCAAATTTATCAAGTTTTAGAATAAATCATGTAAAGAACTTCCAAGTAATCGAAAAGGTAAAGTTAATTACAAACTACTTTCCAAATTTAAAGGAAACACAAAAGTTTACCTGATTCTCACCCACTTTATTCAACCTTCCATCCTGCAAAGGTGTATACAACATAAGAATGATTCAAATAAAGAAGATATCATATTGTATATTGAATATTCATATTTACTTTGCAACCTACTTGCTAAGAGTATACACTTAGTGTAGTCTGATCAGTATCTGATCACAGACAGTTATTGTTCCTAAAAGTTTCCATGTATGTACTTTATAAATAAATTTATCTGCACTCTAGCTAACCAGAGATCATAATTCAGATATTAAGAAAACCTTTGTTTTCTTTCAGTTTTCCTTTATCTTAAAGCCTCTCTTTGCTGTTTACATTCTATAAAACTACTTAATAGCTTTAAACTAGAAGAGACCAATTCAAATAATAATTAAAAACCATGCCAAACTCCAAAATATCCTTCTTCACAGCACTAAACTATAAGATATCTATGTGAACAATTAAGAAGCCAAAGCATGAACTCAAACATACCAATTGTGCCACTTTGAGTTTCATGTCGCTCATGTCATCATGTATATTAGTAACAGTCTTTCGAACATCAGACACCTGTGTACAAAAGAGTATTGCAATGTTATTCACAGATATCCTTCATTGCCTTCATGTTTATAAATTGTAATATAACATTGAAAAACTACACTTTGAATTCTGTTATCCAGGACTGGAACACAGTTCATTTGAAAGAGCTCAATAGCATACCTAACTAACTGGGAAAATTTTAGGCATCAATAAGAATTCTAAACTTAAATATTTCTAAACTGTATCATCCTCAATGACTAATGCAATAAAATTTTCAGCAATTTTATAAAAGTAATTAAGTCGAAGACTTCCAAGTGATAGTTTAAAAGTTCAAGGATATAGAGCTAAAAAAATGAATGCTTAGTGATTTTAAGGATTTGAAGGTGTTACAAAAAAAAACAGGGGCACGAGTTATGTGGTAGAAAGAGTAAACGGTGAGGAACTCTAAAGATTGACAATGTAGCTGAAACCAAAACCTAAAGCAAACAGAGAGAGATGGGAGAGAAGGATGGAACATGTCTTACTATTAGAGCCAATATTCTATTATTAATCAAGATGCAACAACTATCAGGTGTTTACTATCAACTACCCTATTAAGCCATTCTGTAACCAATCGGGACGAATAACTGCTGTTTAATGAGAGCTTATCGTCTTCTTTACTGTACATCATATTCACTAATAAATATCCGTCAAGATTAGAATTTTCAAACTCAATAACTTCTAAGGGAAACCTGATCCAGTTGTCTGCAAAAAAATAGTAAGTGCTGGTCCATATATATAAGTCTTGCATAGGTAACAAAAAAAAATGTACATAAGTGCATTTTTGTCATGTGTATCTAAAAATATGTTTGGCTGCATATATCTTTATATAGCTACAAGTGTAAGCATCAAAAGACATACTCCATCCTGAATTAGCCGTGTCTTCTCATTTTGTTTGCGCATTTTGTCATCCAAATTTTGAATTCTCTGGGTCAAGTGCTTCTTGGCATCCTGCCATTAAAAACATTAGAAGTGGTTAAAATTCAAAAAAGATAACTGATTATTAATACATTTAAGCATCAACTTCCATGTTAAATTTTTAAATCAAGTGCATAATGATGATGGGAAAAACATCTAAGACAAACTGTGGGTCATTGTGGCAAATCTGAATAAAAACTGCTACATCCCCCATATTAAAGACAACAAATGGCTTGCAGTCTCTTCTAATGCAGGGTTTACTTTACTCTAAGGGTAGAAGATTGGGAGCAGATAAATCTTTATAAGAATTCACTTATGGTTGATTCATTCTTACAAATAGTTTCAGCTGGTAGGCGGCTTATTACAGTCTGTCGGCAAAACAATGTGTAACAGCAAAGACCATTCCCGAATTATCCAAATGATTGGGGTAGTGGTTTAGAAATTACTGCCTATTGGTTATTTGATTGCCCAGGCCATTGATAGCCTAACAAAATCTGGCAAATGTTTTAATACACTCCACTCTTACTACTAAGTTGAAGGAAAGTTACATGTTATTTCAAGGAGGTTTCATTCCCTTCAAATGGAAGAATCAATGGTGTGGTGCAATTGTGACCAAACACTTTTGCACATATGTATGTGAGCATGAATAAAAATGTAAAACATTGAAGAAAAATCCAATGCAGTAAATGGACACCTACAGCAATGACATCAGAGGCATGCTGCAGCTTTTTTGTCAAATCGGCAACAGCAGCTTCCATATTACGTTTAGTCACATACATAAGATCTGAGAATGAAAGGCCCTGGTATTGAGAGAAGAACATTGAAATCAGTATCACGAATAACAATTATTTCAGACATATCAACTGGATTAAAAAAAAATCACTTGTAAAATTCAGTGTAATCAAATAAGTGAATAACAGTTTGCGACCCTTTATGAAACAACAAATACTGGTAAGTTGTGACGGAGATATAAACTGTCAACCACAAACTAATGAAACAACTACAAAAACAGCAAGGAACCCAGCAGTTCCATACCTTGAACTTCATATAGCCATAACCCGCAGCACCCAAGACAGTAGCTGGAACCACAAGAGATGATAAATTGCCTGCAGAAAAAGGAAAAGAATATAAAAAAACATTGAGTGGAGAAACATAGCATCTCAAGCAGTAGCCACATTAGACAGAAAAACATACTACTTTGTCCACCCCCGTTCAGCACTGTGATTGACCTGTTCGACGCTATCTGCCGTACTTCATTGGCCAAACGACGCACCTAAGGCAATGTCGAACAATAGTTTTATGATAAGAAATTTCAAAGCCTCTTTCATTTTAAGAGGGAAAAAAATATTGAGACATAATCAACAGTTTGTTACCTGAGCAGCAATGACATCACTCATGTCCCCATCATCATCATTCTGATCGCCATACTTCTCCATTCCCTTCACCAGTGACTATGACAAAAAAATATTACACTTTTAAAACAGAAACAACTTCTACGACCTAGAGACTAAAGAATGCAACAATCCAGCTTCTCAAACTATATAACAAGCTCTTTAGCACCGACACCTCTGAAAAAAGTGTTTCTGTGTCAGTGTACGAAACCGACACTTGTGATTACCTTTCATTCATTTATTTTCTTAAATTATTACACATGTCACTATCTTGTTTCCGGTATCGTATCAGTGCTTCATAGATAACAAGTAGAAACTAAACCACACCACAAAACAACTTATTTTTCTCTCGTTTGGGAGTCCAAATATGTGGGAGCGAAAGGAATTTATGATCACATAAATCAGTAATTAGATGAAAATTGAAAAAGAATATTCTGAAACCCTAACGATCACTACATCGCACAAATTATCACTCGTCCATACAAAATCTCCAACTCGAGTGGAATTTTAACATGCATATACACACACATATACCTGAAGTTCGCCGATTATATCCGATAATTTTCCGTTTTTGATGAGGATGGTACCGGTGTAACCTGAAAGAAGCAAAGTGAAATACGATAAAGCATGCCATAATTGATATGAGACTGTGTGTGTGTGTGAGAGAGAGAGAGAGAGAGGAGTACCGGCTCCGGCAATGAATAGGATCTTGGAGATCCCGATTCCACTTTGCATAGCCATGGCCATGTCGCTAGAGGAGCGATTTCAGCGACGACCTGTGTAGGTTATGATAGGGCTATGGGGCTTTCCTTGATCACCTTCAGAAGCAAGAGCTATGGAGTTATTGAACAGCACGAATGAGCAAAATTGAGAGCGTAGAGAAGGTAAGATCGATAGAGTTTGGTTTCTGAGGGCAAGTTTGGGAGAGAACGGGTTTCTATGATGGGTCAGAATTGTAGATCAGGATTCTCGACTTCAAGACTATGAGGAATCTTCCGCCACCTCGTATTATATACCAGTCACCGAATATTTCAATAGTACCCTAGTTGCGAAATTTTTACCCAAATTCCACTTTTTTTTTTAAAAAAAAATTCAAAATATTTACTTTTTAATTTAGGCTTAATTGTAATTATGGTCCCCTATTTTATATTTTTTTTGTTTTGATCCCTCCATTTTAAAAACTATTATTTTGGTCTCTATTTTAAGTTTTAAGTTTGATTTTAGTCTCCTCTCCAATTTGAGACATTTTTTTTTAATGATATGACACTATCCAAGATGACGTGGCAATGTCATGTCATTTTAAAATTAATTTGAGACTTTTAATTATTGATTAGAATAATTAATTTATTAATATTATTTTCATTAATAAATAAATAAATTATTAATTTTTTATTATTAATTAATTAATCAAAATTTTATATGAAACACTTTAGGCCTAACTTTTTTGTCTCGTGTCTTTGGTCTATCTTTTTAACACACAATTGGTTTACTGTGTTTGTGTAAGATATATAAACACTAACAACATTTATAATGAAAACAATGTGAGACTTTGATGGGTTGGTGACTTTATAAACTAAATTGTATTTTATCAACTTCAGTGATATTTTTACTGTGTGCAAGTGTTAGCACTAATACCTTTTTTTGTCAAATCCTTAATGTTGTACCCTAAATTTGTCCTACCTGTATATAAACTTCATCTGTATATCCGTCCACTAATAGTTATTCAGAAGTTCAAAGAATACAGGCTGTAACCAAGGTTTTAAAGTTTTTCAGTCATGTACGCCTCTTTTCAAGTGTGTATTAGAGTCAGGACAAGGTGAGCTTTGGTTTATGGATTCTGAAAGTCGGTTATTACAAGGAGTCACTCTAAAGCATCACATAAAAGCGTTTCAAAGAACAAATAAAGCGCAAACCGCAAGATAACTTTGATTGATTTCAAGTTATTTGATTTTGAGGCAAAGCATTGATAAAGGCATGAACATGTCATTTATGACCCAAACCTCAGGTTACGACTACTTTATGGTCATATAGTTTTTAAGGATCAAAGTTTATGGATAAAAGGATATTAACTCGAGGATGTTGTTTGGATTCAGTACATCGACGTATTGCAAGCCACAAAGAAAATAGTTATTTCATCAGTTGCAAGAAATAAGCCTCACTCTTCATTTACCCTTCATACATATGAGCCAAATAGATCTAAAAATCTATTCATAGAATCACTGCTGCATCAATCAAGCCATCAAAATGTGTTCAATTTGAAATGTTAAATAGAATTCCCAACAAGTCTCTTGTTAATAGAAGAGCTCAAATCCCATCTTTTGATAATATTAAAAAGAAACAAAATATGATGATCAAAAGTTTCCCTATGGAAAACCAAAATACATGCTGTGAAGTTAGCCCAAAAGAACAACACGGGAATAGGACAGAGTTGTTTTCATAGCCCATTGGTCTTGGAGTTCCTTTTACGAATAAATTCACAATGGAAGCATACGGATATGGCGGCGTGAAGAAAATAAGGGGAGCTGATGTTTCTTGTTTGTTTGCGGAATCCTGTTGGTACCCACCAAGTGAATAGCCTGCAAAACCAATACAACGGAATTATACAACACCCAATACCGTACGGCGAATGAAACAAAGTTGTAGCGCAAATTTTCACGATACACAAGGCATCAGCTACCAAACCAGCCGTTGTTTCGCGTCTCACAGCATACCGTGTGAAGCAACAATGTCGCAGGGACTCCATGAATTTCAAGCCATTCAGTTCCGAGCAACAACCATTCATAACCTGCACCATTTCACAAATATCATGTTGTGACCTCACCTCCCATGATTCATTAAAAAACTACATTCTACAACATAATTCACGCACAGAAACCACAAACCAAATTCGTACGACTTGTATCACTGCTGCAATGCTGCCCATACCAGAACCAACCCCACTTTTAGCTTGTAAGACATCAAACCTGTTAAAGAAAAAAGAACAATTCTTCAAAAAGTGGATTACTAGCATCCCTGATTCAGGAAATAAAAAAGAAGAAAACTTTGAAAGGATGCAGCAGGAGGAACGTGAGAAAGTTAAAGCAGTCAGATACCAGTCCTCTAAATGAAGAGGAACGTCGACTCGTGGTGGAGGGATATGTTAAGATTGTTGAAGAAGAAGAGGATTCTTAAGCCGAGGTTAAAGGCTCCACTTGCAGTTAACCGGTTCGTAGAGAATACTTGAAGCATAGGCCACACAAAAATTCACAGACCTTGAAGACACACAATGTTCATCTCATGATCTCCAAAAATCACTTCCACAGAACAGGACAGTAGCCGTCAAGTGGTGTTTCTTTCACGTGATTCATCATGATAACTTGTCCACACAATAACTGTTACGCAGAACCATACCTTCATCAGTTGCGTAGAACCGCATCCCGTATACGCACATCATAATAAGTTCATATCCTGCAATGAAAAATACAAAAATCAAGAATATTACAGCTGTAAAAGGGTGAGTATATAGAGGCGCTGAAGTTTGCTATCAAGGAACAAAACTGTACCCGGATGTTGAAAACATTGCTCAGATCCTTGTAGTTTGTGAGGTTCACAGTGCTGCACTGAACAAACTCTCGAGGGCCGAAATGGACTGGTATTTCAGACAAAGAAACTCTTTGATGACGCAGTCATAAGAAAACAGTACAGAAAGCTTGTACTGCTACTTCATCCCGATGAAAATAAATTTGCTGGTGCAGAAGTTGCTTTCAAGTTGATTTGGGAAGCCGATGGGGTGTTGAACGATCAATCAAAGCGAATTTTACATGATATGAAGGTTAGAGCCCATTTACAAGAAATGAAAATCAAAGCCAATTTGAAAACTGCAGTACCTAATACCTCATCTCGTCACTTAAATGGGAATGTGTTTGCTGCAAATCAAGTTCCAAATGCTATTGAACCTGCATCGACCTGAACATTACAAGACAAATTTGTGCATCATGCCATCACCAAGACACACTTCCTGCAAATAAACCACAGTGCAAATTTCATAAATAAATCCAAGTCATCACCAGAACAAGAGGGAAGATGAGGGAGTTCAGTGGAAATGAGAGTAGAACCTAAATATTTGTTTCTCAATTCACAAATGACAGAGTTTTAAAACTTGTCGCAGCAGCCAAGAGGATATTTTTCACAACATGAAAATCACAACACAGCCACAGTAAAAACCTGCAAGGAAAAATTTCAGAATGGAAATTCAATAAAGACAACAACCTCTTCATTCTGAAAGAAAATTGCTCAGAAAAAGAATGGCTTCTGAGATGGAACTTCAACTGCACAACACCAACAACAAGCAACGATTATCATAGATTTTCTCGTCGAACCAACAACGCTTCCTCGTTGAATTGCTCTTTACCTGCAACCACACAAAGAGGTGTCACTATCACAACAACAACAACATTAGCCTCATCAGAAGTTGTATCAGCAGAAAACCTAGACCAAGCAAACAAGATGTTACTCGAGATTTCGCAGCTCTCGACTCCTTTCGGGACATCGGCACAACGAGTAGCAGCTCATTTCTCTGAAGCAATTTCTGCAAGACTACTTTTCAAGTCTTCAATGGAATCAGTCCATTTGTGAAACTCTCTCATTTCACTGCTAACCAAGCTATACAAGAAGCATTTGAAAGAGAAGTTAAGATAGTTGAGAATCCAAAACAAGCATTGTGAATATACCAGCCATATGCAGATGACATTGGGTTTAAAAGCTTACAATTCTGATCCTTATTCTATCATCCTTCCTAATCCCCACTACTTGGCCCATACAAGTTTTACTTGCATCCACACCCAGCGAGAGGTTGCAGTTCAATGCGAAATCTTCAGCTGTCATGTTCTTATTTCCACAACTTGGGCATTAGTGAATTGCAACAAAAGAGGACATTAGTTTTTATCAGCACCTTATTTCAAGATAACAGACAGTAAAAAATCAAGTTACTAGCAGTAAAATCAGAGATTATTTGGTGTTGTGGTAAAAAGACATTACCTCACTACAGACAAAAGAACTTGTACTACCTCACCTCAAGCCTCTGCATACCCTCTCCATATAAAACCTCGTGAGAAGTGACAGCAAAGGGGGGGGGGGGGGCAACCCTAGCAGCTTCAGCCTCCAAACCCTAGCCCCCCATCTCTTTCAAAAATCGCCCCAAAAGCTTTTTCAATCTTCCTCTTCTTCATGAACTCTCAAACCTCAATCTTTAGTCCATTCAACATTCTGCAAACCATTATCAAGACTCATCTTCACCACTCAGTTTGAACTCCCATTTTTAAACAAACCTTCAAACCCAGTTGAACCAACCAAAGCCACCATGAACAACCTCCGTTCACCACCTCCAAACTGTCTTCCAAACCTTCGCTCTCTCTGTTATCCATCTTCGATCTATGGCCAGCAACCGAACACCCTCACAACCCCCTAAACCCTACACCTAAAATCTGCAGCCAACCTCAACCTCTTTGCAACCCAACCTTCATCATTTTCCTCTGTTCGTCACCAACCTCATCCTTCCAACTCATCCACTTTCATCTTCTCAACACCACTTCCATGAATCTTCTCCAAAATTATACCTCCAAACCACCATCGATGAATAACAACTTCGAGCTACCCAGAACCTCATCTGAACTCTCACCTTCAACCTTCGAAATCTCAACCAACACCACAATCAAAACCATTTCTCCATTTCCAAACAACCCGACATCAGTAAAAAGCTCAGACCCAAC